TTTTTCTGTACAGACAAAATTATTTGTGAAATATGAAATTCTTAAAGGTGGAATTAGACCTTTTTGGTAGATAGCTACACATGGAAAATGTTTTGTCACTTAACCACTATCCAAAGCTTAATGTCAATTAAACCTTTAATTTCCTTAAGCCAGTAAGCTTTTATTTTTATGTTGCATTTTTTCTGTAATCTTTCTAATGACGAAATTGAATTCCAAAGAAAATGAGAGTTATAAAATGAAACAATGCAGGACTAAATGAAAAACACAGGTTCAAAATAAAGGCTAGAGACCAAGTAAAATAATCCTTTGGGTGCCTTGTAGCCACTTTGCTGCCTTGGGGCTTTGTTTCTACCTCTTTTTATTCCTCACAAGTTGAATTTGTTTATGCATAATTCTGAAACCATATAGGCTTAAGTTTCACAGTTTTGGAGATTCAGAGGTAGCTTGAATAGACTCTTCAAATAGCCTTCTTCACTGTAGCTTCCAATGCTGCAAGTTTATTGGGGAGTTATTTTAACTACTAGAAAGGGTCTTTTTGGAAAAAAAAACTTTTTGAGGAATAATTTACAAACCATTAAAACTTGCCTAAGTTCTTGCATAGTTTAACAAATTGTAGATAAAAGGATATATTTCTCTAACAATCACCATAATCAATTTTTGGAACATTTACGTAAATCCCCCAAAGTTTCCTATGCCTGTTTCTATCAACTACTATGTGCTGTCCTCACCTCAGAACAAGGCATCTACTAATGTGCTTTCTGTTGCTACAGTTTCTCCTTTTCTAGAACTTTCTTTGCTGCCTTTCATTTGGCAAAATGATTTTGGGATTCATGCTGGGAACTGTTTATTAGCAGTTTGTTCTTTTTTATTGCTGAGTCTATTCCATTAGAAGGCATATTTATTTATTCTTTTTTCCAGTTGATAGTTGTTTGTCTCTCTTGGTAATTGTGGATGAAGCTTCCAATAACATTCATATATAAGTGTGTGTGAGAACATTTACCTTAATTTCTCTTAGGAATGCCTGGAAATGTCATTGCCGGGCCCTATGTGCATGCTTTACTTTTTAAGTGACTGAAAACTATATCTTTCCCTGAGTGGTTGTGCCATTTTGCATTCTCCCTCAGTTAGTTTGCCTGATTGGCCATAACAAAGTAGTACAGATACAGTGAATTGAACAACAGAAATCAAATCTTCCCCCAGTTCTTGCGGGGACAAGTCTAAGATCAAGGTGTCATCAGAGTTCGTTTCTTCTGAGGTCTGTCTTTTTGGCTTGTAGATGACAATTGTCTTTCTGTGGTCTCCTATGGGAATTCCCATGTGGTTTCCTATGGTTTCCTATGTATGGGTGTACATGGGCTTGTGCACATGCAATGATCTTTAGAGATAATATAATATATAAATTAAAGTTCAAATTTGATGCCTGATTCTTAGTCAGGGCTCAGTCAATATATTTTTTTTCATACACCTGCTCCTGACTTAATGAGTAAGGGATGAGGGATAAGTTTAGAAGAAAGATTTGGTCCCTTAATAAACGTAGTAGGTGCAAAGTTACTGACATTGCTGATAAGCAGACCTGGAATCCTGTATATTTCTGTCACTAGATAACTGAACAGCCTTAGGTGAGTGCACTCACCTTATGATCTGCAAGTCTGACTTACTGGTAATATACCATCAGAGGTGAGTTTACCACAAGTGAATTTATTTTGTCAATGCTTGATACTGTAAGGGATTTAACAGGCATTAATGGAATCGGAAATACTTGAGGGCCTCAATCACTTATGTTTTGAAGGAATAAATCCTTGCTGCAGTGATTTCTTTCTCCCTTTCTTCTTCCCTTCCCTTCCTTTCTCCTCCCTCCCTACCCCCTGCTTACTTTCTACTTCCCTATCTCCCTCCCCTTTTCCTTTCTTCACTCCTAAAATATCTGAAGTATTGTCACTCCCTTCCTTTCTACTGTTTTTTACAGTTAAATAGAGACTCTATCCGCATTTCTCTCCAGATGGATACCCTGCAAAGCCTGGACCCTGAAGGTATTAAATTCTGTTTCATGTGACTCTTCCCTGCATGGGTGTTCTTTAAGTTATTTTACAAGCTGGGCACCTATGCATCCCTCATCTTCTCCTAGCATGCCCCTAGTTTAAGTGTCACTGGAAGGGACTCAGCCACACCTACCATTGCCACTCATTTTTACAGAATCCAGTTATTTTATTTCAAACATGGAATGTCACTTGTAATTCATCCTGTGTGTGTTCTTTAGGCCACTTATTATTATTATTATTATTATTATTATTATT